CTTTCTTTATAAAAATACAAAACAATTCATACAAAATTAAGCTTGTAAATCTTCAAGACATTTATAGATCTATTTTTAAAATTTTATTTGATCAAAAATACTCTCTTCACAATTCTTTTAAAATAATATTTTTTCAAAAATAATTATCTTATTTAAAAATAATAAACAAATATTGATGTAACATTCAATGCTACTATGAACAATTCTTTAAAATAAATTATTTTTTTTTTTATAGAAGTTGTGATTTAAGTGGAATGTATAATGAAGGAGAAGGAATTTTATCTCCCTTGGATGAAGATTTTTCTGCAGGCTCAGAACATAATATTTCTTTATCACCTGGACCTGTAACTAATGATTATGCACGTGATATGAATTCAACTGATAATGATATTGATGGTAAATAATTAAATATAATATATTAAGCTTTAATTATCTTTTAATTATTTCCAAATATACGGATTTTTGTTCAAAATATGTTTAAAAAATATTTAAAAAATAAAGCTTAATATACTTATTTCAAACAATTTTAAAAATTTTGAAGTATTTTTCCTATTTTTCTTACAGAAGTGTTCACAATGGAAACAGAAGAAAGTTCTTGGATATCTTTAAATTCTGGTGTAGCATGTGATATTGATTTAAACATTGATTTAAGTTTAAATCTTAATGATGATTTAAATGAAGAGGGAAGTAAAATTTCACCATTAAAGTCAGTTAAATCACCAATAATTCCTATACCTAAGACATCCAATTCTTCTAATAAATCCTTAACAGAATTTGGCAATATTGGTTGTTTTGTTGGAAGTAAAAATTCTAATGATGATTTCACTTATGGAGGATTTAGCCAATCTACTAATACATCTGAAGAAATATGTACTATAGGAATTGAAGAGCAAAGTTCTATAATATTATTAACAGATAATAATAAATCTAGCACTGTAGCGCATGAAGATATTCAATTAAATCATGTTTATCAAAAATCTATATCAAATGAATGTACAACTTCAGAAATGAGTGCAGAATCTATCATCTGGTTGTCTCATCGACTTGGTCCTGTACTTACTGCTAAATATTTATCTCGGAATTTATTGAGAATGCTCACATTATGTTATACTGGAAAAGAAAACTTAACAATAACTAATGATACTCTTTTGACTATTGAAAGTACTTCTTGGAATAAGAAAGTTTTACTTGGTGATCGCAATGCTAACAAAGTTTTAGAGTGTCTTGCAGCTATTGCAGGTTAATTTATTCATATAAAAAAGAATTATATTTCTAATTTAAATTTTTCAAAATAAAGCTAATTTAATTTATATATTTAGGTTTGTATGGAGAACAGATTATAGTATTACAATATTTTGCGCACATGGTTGAACTTTTAGCGCTTTGTAAAAGAAAATTAACGCAAAATTTGGAAGGAGGACTTATTTCATGTTTAACTCTTTTAAATTATATTACACCATATCTCAGTGATGCCATACTAATGGATGTACTTCATGTATGATTATATAATATAAATGTTTCTAAATCTCATATATATAAAATTGACAAAAAATTAATTCATAGGAACCAATTGTCAAAGCAATATTATATCCTACAGTTCGTATATTATCGTCAACAAGATTTACTTTTCCTAATGGAATACTTGCACGTTCTATAATGGCGGAAAAATGTTTAGAAACTCTATTTACGTTTAGCTTACGATTAGGTGATGTTATTACAAAAAATCATCTAGCTGTACCTATTCAACGATTTTTCTTAGCATTTGATAAATCATTTAATCAAGATGTTATAAAAAATATTAAAGATGAAATTAGCCAAAAAACAATAAGTGAACACTTTACAAGGTATATTAATTTATATTTGTTATATTGTAATATTATTTTGAATTAATTTATATATAATATTATTGATATAATATATATATATATGTATCTATGTATAGGGTAAAAGTTTCAAATGAAGATAATAGAGATAATAGAGTTGGACTTCAAACAAATTTTAATACAGATGTTGCTGATTCTTATTCTCCACCAGTCGTAGAAAATATAGATACATCTGATTCTCAGAAAAATAAGGTAAAGATATTAATAAATTTTATATAATTATATATTATTGTAAATATTAAATATTAAAGACAAATATGTGCGCAAATGTGCATAATAAATTTTAAATATATACATATATATATATATATATTATTTTTTTTTTTAGGCACTTGAAGAATTAAAAGCTGTATTTACAACAGAATTTGCTCATAAAACATATATGCTTTTTTATAAATGCATTGACGATGAAATAATGAAACATATATTAAAAAATCATGAACATATGCATGATTTGTGTCGTAAATATGAAAAAGAAATAAAAATTTCCAATACTGGTATGTTCCATATTATGTTTTATTTATTTGTTGCATTTTTTCTCAGGATATCTATAATTTTTTTGTTTGTGATTTTATTTGTGAATTTGTGAATTTAATATATTTTTTGATTGTTTTGAAGATGATATAATATTGGATACATCATATAATGGTTATAATATAGCAGAAAATATAGAATTAACAAATAAAGATACAGCTAATTTTGAAAATATATCAATTGTGGGAAATAGATTTGCAGTACAAAAAAATGATATTGGAGATTACATTACTTCAGAAAATGTTATGTCTAATCGTGAAGCAAGTTGTTCTTTGTCAACTGGAAGACAATTACGTGGAAATTGGTTGGCATATTGGGAACATGAAATTGGAAGATCGGAAAAAGATATAACATTTAATATAAAACAAATAAAACTTCAAACTTTTAGTGGTCATACTAATAGTGTTAGGTGCCTATATGTATTAGATAATGAAAATAGTTTCATGAGTGGAGGAAGAGATAAGACTGTAAAATTATGGAGTTTAAGAAGTCAGGTAAAATTATATAAAATTATATATGTTTTAATATACATATGAGACATTTTTTTCAATTCTAGAAATTAAAACCAAATATAAAAATTATATACACGCAATTATAAAATGAAGCAAAATAGAAATAAAATAAGATTGCTCTATCTCCATCGTCTTATAAATTTAAATTAATTATAATTTGATAAATAAATTTCAAATAATATTTTTATGTTAATTTTTGTATTTGTTTTAATTTTCAGAATTGATCTTCGAAAGATATTTCATGAATAATAATCTATAATAATAATTTGTATATAAAAGATATTATATATAAAAAAAAATTCTTCAAAAGAAGTAAAAATAATAAAATTATAAAATTATATTAATTTATATGTAAAATTTTTAATATATAAAATGATATTTTAATTTCTTTTACTAGAAATTTAAATTATGAGATTTAAAAATATATTATATAAGAATTTATATTTAAGATTTATATTTTTTATAATAGGGGGATGGAAATACTGTATCGTCTTGCCAGTATACTTATACTGGACATAAAAAATCGATTCTTGCACTTACATTCTTAGAATCCTTAAGATATGTAATCACTTGTGATGGTACAATTCATTGTTGGGATCCTTTTATGGGTTCCCTTCTTGGATGTCCAGAAAGTTCACGTCCAGTTCCTGTAAATACACTGGCTGCAAGTCCTTCTCCATGTACAACTTTGCTTGTGGGTACAACTGATATTACATTGAGAGTTATTGATTGTAGAACATTTCAATATGTAAATGAAATGAAAGTAAGTATTGTTGTAAAATATTTCACAAAATAAAATTTTTTTTTTGGCAATTCTTATAAATGTAGATTCATAATTTTCATTAACTTTTATTAAGTCTTTTAACACATTAACATTACTAACAACACTAACATAATTAACAACATTAATTGAAAATTGATTTATGTTAATAGAATGTATGGAATAAATTTTATTATTTATTCTATTATCTTCCAGATAAAATAACAATAAGTTTCTTCTTTCAGGTATCTATAAATCCAACAGGTTTAATTCGATGCATTGCAGTAGCACCTAGTGGTTATTGGGTAGCATTGGGTCAAGCATCAGGTTTTCTAACAATTTTAGATATTCGTACAGGTCTTATTATTGCATCTTGGAAAGGTCATGAATGTGAAGTATGTTATATTCAAAGAAAGAAATTTTAAAAACAATATTCAACAATATTTAATGAAATGTTTAATCATCATTCTTTTAGATATTACAATTAGAGGCAATTAATGAAACAACATTAATTAGTTCTTCACTAGATGAAACTATTGCTGTATGGAGTGCATTAGATGGGAAATTGAAATTTCATATGAAGTAAGATAAAATATTATTTTTTATCATATTAATATATCATGTATATGATATATAATTTTTTGCTTTTAACAATTTAAAACTTTTTAATTCGCTGAAAATATGAATAATTATGATGTATAATAATAATGATTACTAAGAATTATTTTAAAAATTTCTAGACTTTTATAATTACATTACATATTTTTATAATTACATAATAACAAAAGAATTATTGATATATTTTTTTTAAATATTATATTTATTTATGATATTTATCAAGTCATATATATATATATATATATACAACTTATATATAAAACTTATATATAATACTATATATAATAATTAATTCATCAATTAATAATTTTTTTTATTCATTTCAAATTTTCGCTAGTTTTATTATTCATTATTTTTATAATTGTATTTTTTAGCGTATTTTTTGAAGCTACCAAATATATTTAAAAATTAAATTTCATATTTTAAATTTTTAGGGGTTCTACAGAGCCAGTTCATTGCATGACTACGTACGAACAAGAATTAATAATAGGAACAACAGCAAATCGGGTAGGAGTTTACACATCTATAGAAACAACAGCTTCGTTTTCATCATCAAAATTAAAATCCGATACTTTTAAAGGTCTTCTTACTACAATGGCAGTTCTTCCCCTTAATAGATTATTATTATTAGGTGCTGATAATGGCGGAATAACATTGATTTGTTAAATATTATAAATACATATGATTTCTAATTATACATATATATATATATATATATATAATTAATAATTATATATATAATTTTATAATTTTACTTTACATTAATCTCTACTCACATTTATTTATTACTTAACATTTATTTATTATTTTAAAAAAAGATATAATACATAAATATATACAAAATTAAATAAATTTTTAATTTCTCATGGATTAGTATAAAGGAAGCTTTATACTTTACACATAACTTATATCCGTTCTTGTTCCAATTACTTTTAAAGCAAGTTCAGGGGACATTTTATAAACACCAATATCCGCTAGTATCTCATTTGCGATAATTTCATCATTATCATTAAGAGCCTCAACAAGTAATATTGCAGAGCCTAACATGATATTTAATAAAATACATGCTTCTTTAATCCTAAAAGTATTATTTAAATTTTATTAGATTTTATTAGATAGAATAATGAACATTTTATAGAATATTATATTATCAAGGCATTGATAATCATTAATATCATATTGTTAAAAATAACAAATTTTTTATGTAATAATAATAATAAATATTAAAAAATTCTTTAATCCTTTATATAAAAAAAAGATATAGATTAAAGATTTCTTTAATAATCTTTAAATAAAATAATGTAAATATATTCACATATATATTAGATATATTATATATTACATATGTCATGAATAAAATTGATTATAGACAAAGATTATTAATTATATAATTTATATAATTTAATTTAATAATTTTGAAAAAATTTTATTATACAATTTTGTATAACGACATTAGAAAAAATTTCACAGAAATATCGATATTTCTATATAATATTTATGATACTTTCATTTTTTTAAAATTAAAATTGCAATTTATAAAAATGAATAAAATGATAATTCTTTAAATTCTGTCTTCATATTATTGAAAATTTTTACTACATTAAAAGTTATTACATAAGAAATTTATATATTCGTTTCATGTATTTTTAACATAATGGTTATTTGCTACTTACAATGGAAAATATGATTCAGGTTTATTGATGTATAAACCAAATAATGGAAATAAATTTCTAAAAATATCATATTGTAATTGTTCAGCTCCACCCATATTAAAATGATTTACTAGAACGACTTCTTCTAGAAGAAACTATAATAAAAAATTTATATTTACACAAATATTTAATATATTTAAATCTAAAATAATTTTTTAATTTATATCTGACTTGATCGAATTGTGAAGCTAAATTTTTCCAAGCCTGCTCAAATAAAGGTAAAGCAAGTGTATTATGCAATAAATTGAGTTGTGTTGCTAATTCTTGAAACATAGAGTAACCAGTTGGTGTAACAGATAAGGACACCACTTCTTTAGTTGATTGCATTGCAAACCATCTGTAAAAAAATTTATTTTATAGATACAAAATTATTAATTATTAAACGTTTAAAACTTTTAAAAATTTATACAATTTTTTAAACAAAAAACTTGATAAATATTAAAAAATATAATCTGGTCTAGAATAAATAATTTTGATTTTATATATAAATATAAATATTAAACAATCTTTTATATAAATTTAAATTTAGTGCTATATTATCCTTACTTATCTGTTCTATATGATCTACTCTTTGCCTTTACATCTAAACCTACAGAATCGCTAATTTCATTTATTAATGTCTTTTCTAGTCTTCTTAAAAGTGCAACAGCTTCATCAAATACAGAACCTTCGATTTCTCCTACATTTTTAGTTATATCATTTCCTTTTAATGTAGCAGTTTCAACTGCTTCAAACTGTTTTTTAAAAAAGTATAATTGCAAAAAATGCTAAAAAAAAAATTAAATGATATCAGAAATATGTAACATATAAAGTTTTTTTTGAAATAAATATTTAAAATACTTACCACTGTTACACCCCACTCTTCTAAAACAGTTGCAACATAATATAATGTATTAAGAATACATGGCATAAGAGATGTTAAAGGATCTTCATAATTTTCATGTAGTAATTGAAGTAATCGAACTCTCCAATCATCAATTAATTCTAATTGTAATTCAAGAAACTGTAACCTATTATTATTTGATTCAAGAAAGTTGAATTGAATTGAATTGAAAATTATAATAATTATATTACATAGAATTAAATAAATATTAAGGATTGTTTTTGCTATAAAAAAAATCATACAATATGATAATATATATCATTTCTTTATAAATGATTTAATATTATTTTTGATTCTATGATTTTTGTCATTGTAATATATGAATATATTAATAATAAAATATGAGAAAATTTCATTTTAATTTTACAATAATTGCAATAACAATTAATATAAATTTCATATAATATTAAAAATTTATTTATTAATATTTATTATATATTAAATTCATTTATATAAATAATAATATAAATAATTATATAAATAATTATTTATATTATTTATTAATTATATTTATTATTAATTATACCTGTGTCCTGGTTGAGGTAAATGTTTATATCTATCAGAAATTGTAGAAAGAAGTGTTAAAAAAGCATCTGCACATTCAGTTACTTTCATATCATCAATGTCAGAAGTTGATAATTTTTCCCAAGCTGTATTTGAACTCAAAATGGCATCCATTTTTTCAGTTGCATCTAATAATTTAATACATTAATGATTGGAAATCTTTTATTAAAAATAATTTAATATTCTATATAAATATTTAATCATAATATAATTTAATTATACGATACTTAATACATTAAAATATTAAATAATAAATTAAATAAAGAATTAATAAAAAATATATTACATTTTTTTTCCATATTAATCCACTTTACAAAAATATGAGCTTGTGTAAGTACAAAAACAGTAGCTGGTTGAGTTGAAGGATAAAATAATGTTTCTCTCAATTCCCGTTCAAAACCTAAAGCTTCATCAACTAAATGAGCAAATAAAGCATCGTCATATTGTACTATCGATAATTCAGAATGAAGCTTTTCAACTGCTAATTGTATCAAAGCTCGCATAAATTCTACCTATTACAATAAAATAATTTATATAAAATTGTATTAATATATTTCATTGTGTAAACAATAATACAAACAACATATGAATACTTTCATTATTAATATTATTAATATTATTCATATCATTATCATATCATTATCATATTAATGAAATATTCAGACTTTATATAAAATACAAAACTTAATTGAAATAATCAGATTTTTTGCTCTTTTATAAAATTTTATTATGTTAATTATAAAATAAAAGTATCAATATATTAAATAGTACCTTCATATCTACATAATTAAGACCTATTGAATTTGCAACAGGTTGTACATTTTTTTGTACCCATTGTATATGATCTTTAATCCAAGTTAATATTTGAGTAAAAAACCATTCAGGTTTATCTTGTCTATTTGTTAATTTAGAACCTGTGAAATGATATATAAATCTTTGTCTAAGTGGTCGTACCAACAATGAAATTGGTAAACTCACAGGAGTAAAATCTGTTAATAATACTGATGTTACTACAGGTTTTGCAGTTTCTTCTCTATATATATATATATATATATATATATTAAGTTAATAATAAGATATAATTTTTCTATAATATAAAAAATCTTAATAAAATACAAAAATTAAATTTACATTCACAAGGATACGGTAATTGTAAATGAAGTAAATATTCTGTAAGTATTTTAAATTTCATTAATATTTCTGGTATAAGAATATGTAAAGAACTTGCATTATTACCACAGAAAGGCCATTTTTAATCCTTTCAATATATCATTGTATTCTCTGAAAATTATTAGTATGTATATTTATCATATATATATTTATATTTTATATATATTAAATATATAAAAATATATTAGATAAAAATATACTTTGATAATTTATCCTTTATAAGGTTATGCCAAAAATATAGAGTTTCTTTTACATAATTTTGGAGATAATGACAAGTTGATGATCTTAATTGACAACTAATATTTGTAAGATCTACATATAATGAGATAGTTAATTCATCATCACCATTTGTTAAAGATACTTGTATTTCATCACTAAAATCATAATCCTTTAATATTAAAAATAATTATAAAATATAAATAAATAAGTGATAATAATTTACCTAATGTTTTCAACATATTTTATAAAATTTAAATATGATAAGGATTTATTTAAATAATTTATAACATTGATAATTTTTTGCATTTCTAAACTTTTATCATTTTCATGCATTGTTTCTTGTATGTTTTCTCTAAATTCGATAAAAGCTTTTTGTAATTGTTGAAATTCAATATCTATTTTTTCAACATTTTCTATAACTGCCTTTACTTTTGATGGAGCTTCGCTTGATGCCATTGACAGCTAAATTTAAAAGACCAATAATAAAAAATTTTCTTTATTAAATTTTTTTTATGTAAAAACAAACTGTAAAATGTAGAGTATTTTTAATAAGAATTTAATGATAATATGTTTTTAAATACATACTGATTTTTGAATTTCATTTTTCTGAGTATTAAGATATTGATGAAATTCATATATTTTATTAAGTCCTTTTAAATCATTTCCTAATTCTGTATTAAATTTGTGTATAATTGTTTCTTTGGTATCTATCATAATGTTATATTTATCGTAAGTAGCCTTTAACAAATGTATAAGAAATTTGATAATTTAAGGTTATGGTATTTAATATTATGAATATATATGTACTATATATATATATATACAACTTGAGACAAATAATAAATTTCAATAGCTTGCTATTTTTATCTATTTTAAAATATAATATCATAGATACTTTTATCTACATTATAATTCAACTGCTTAAATGAACATTATTTCTTTAATTTTATAAACTTATTTAATAAATCTAATTATCTTATTCCAAGTTTTGCTAAAAACTTACTTATTATATCATATATAAATATTATTATAAATTATTATATAGTTATTTTATAAACTTAACATATTATATTGTAATAAAAATATGTTTATATCGATGAATGCAATGAAAATTATTATTTTTTACAAGTATATATATATATATATATATATATATATATATATATATATATATATATATA